GCGTGAGCCACTGTGCCTGGCCCAATGTTGCCAGTTTTTGCTGGGACCACCTTCACTTTATGAATTAAGTTGAGAAGAGTTGTTCATTCGTGACATTGGATGCCGCTGGGTTCTTTTGTGTTAACATTTAGTTGCTTTGTGTTTCCTGGGTCCAGCGCTGGCAGGACACCCATCTGGCACATGGAGGGCTCTGGGTGCATTGAGGGTGCTCCGACCCCTGGGCTCGCAGGCCACGGGGATTCACTTCAGGCCCACTGGCCCCAGCGGCTCCCTCTGGCCCAGGCGTTGCTCGGCCCCTCCTCTCCAGCAGCTGCTACTGGGGTGGGTCTGCGGGTGACCTCAGCTCCCTGCCTGGGACCCCTGCCCTCTTGCCTTCTACTCAAGGCCCCTGAGGGCCGACTCCGTCAACCTCAGGGGCGTGTTTCCTGCTAACACACTTGGAAGGTTGTCGTCCCCTCTGCCTCATACGCACACTCTTGGCGTGGCCACAGGTGGTTTTGCCGGTCCCCTCGCTGACCCTTGTGGTTGCTGGGGCCGGGGGTGTGTGTGGGGGGAACAGACACCTGCAGCCAGCGCTGCGCACCGGCGCGTCTCTGGGCCCGTCTGCCCCTGCGAGGGGCCCGGCTCACGGCGCGCCCTGCCCACAGCAGTCCTACGACCTGCTGCTGCTGCTCCTGATGCTGCTGCTGCTGCTGCAGGCGAGTCTCAACACGGGCACCGCCATCCAGTGCGTGAGCTTCAAGGTCAGCGCCAGGCTGCAGGGCACGTCCTGGGACGCCCAGCCTGGCCCGCAGGAGCGCCCGGCCGGGGAGGTGAGTGGCTCCCAGACCCGCTCTGGCGCCTGCCCTGCTGGGCAGCTGCCCAGTCCTTCAGGACTTGCTGTGCCACTTTGGGGTTTTAAAAACACCACAGAAAAATCTTGAGGAAGTAAAATATTTTTTAAAAATTCATTTTTTGAAAAAACAACTAGGCAATCCCAAACCCGTGCCTGGAAAACGCAATGGGCTCAATGCTTTCAGTTCTGCTCTTACAAACACAGGACTGGAGGATTCTGGGGCATCTCCAAAGTCTCCTTCCGGCCTCTGCTGGGGACCCCAGCTCTGCAGGGAAGGGGGCACCACAGCTGGCGTGTGGGGTCCCTACAGATGGGTGTCAGTGACCCCTGGCTGGCAGGCTGAGGGGTCATGCTGTCCCTCTGCCGGGCTCACGGCCACCTGGCTGATGCTGTCCCCCCGGGCCGTGCCTGTCGCCCCCGTGACTGAAAGGTGAGCCTCCTGCCGGTGTTTTCCCTGGGCAAACCGGCCCCTGCCTCTGATGAATGCCTACGTGGCGCCCCGAGTCCCCGGGCAGATGCTTAGCCTGGCCTCTGCCCCCCGCGGCGCCAGCGGGAGGTGTGGTCCCGGGCAGATGGCCACTGCCTGTGCTCCGCACACTGCAGCCCCCGTACGTGCTGTGCCCGCTGCGACCTGGGGACACGCTCTTGCCCTGGGCCCTTTCTCAGGCGAGCTCGACAGTCTCCACCCTTTCCTGGTGCCATTCCCTTCACCCCTGCTTCCACAGACGGCGTGGGTTCGCTGTCATTTTTACCTGGCTGTGGTCAGTGTGCCCACTGGGATGGCCGTGCCCGGGCCTACAAGATCCACCTGGCTTTGTGCTGCGACCAACAAGGTGCAGCGTCGGGTGAATGAGCTGCTCTCACTGGACTCCCGGGGCTCAGGGTGGACAGCCGGGCTGGCGCGGTTCTCCCTCGTGTCTGGGCGCGTTTGGTCACCTTGGCCTCGGCGTCCTCTTCTCAGCCGTCAGCACGTGCCCCCGCATGGGCAGCCTCCCCCCACGGAACCAGGGCATGGCTGAGTGAAGACCCCCCCAGGCTCCGCGCCTGCAGAGGACACTGAGAGCCCCGAGCAAGGGAGGGGGGCAGCTCTCAGATAGTGGAGAAGGGGCCTCGTCTCTCCCCTGGAGGCCCAGGGGTTGTAACTGCTTTCCTGTCTTGGTCACAGGTGGCCAGAAGCCCCGCAAAGGAGTTTGACAAGGAGAAGGCCTGGAGAGCCGTGGTGGTGCAGATGGCCCAGTGACTACAGCACAGGGAAACTGAGTCGCAGTGTGGGCCTGGCCCCAGCGCATGACACTGCACAGACGCGAATTGCCCTCGGGGTGCCACCTTCTAACGCGTCTGTTTCCTCCTGTGAGGGCAGGGCAGGCTGCGAGGTGGCTTTTTCTTGTCTTACAGTAGTTTTATTTTGAAATAGGCAAGGGGTTGGCTCTTTTGTGCCCTGTCAGACCAGTTGGTCCCCGGTGCCCCTTGGCTGAGGAGGGGCGCGGGTCCTGCCTGCCGAGAGCCCGGCTGGTGCGCAGGGTCCCAGCGCGGCTTCCCACCTCCCTCGCAGCTGGGCCGGGGTCAGGTCTCCGGGTGTCAGTGTCTGGGCAGACAAGGACCCTGAGTTCCCGTCCACCCTGACCAGCTCCCCTTGTTGGCTCTTCCCGTGCCGGCCCGGTTGTGCCAGCCCGGCCTGGATCGCGCCGGGAGAGGCCCTTCCCTGCTGGGATGGAGCCGGCTGCTGAGCACTGTCTCCCGGGCCGGAGAGAGAGGCTGAGCACCTCCGTCCTGTGCGGGGCCACGGGGCTGTCCTCCCCAGAGCCCGGATGCTCAACTCGGGCTGCTGCTGCTTTTCCCACGTAACATCCACACCTGAGTTTCTGCGCCGTCTTCATAGTGAACCCTGGTCCGCGTCCCCAGGTGTGGCCACGTCCACCGTGGAGCTTCACGGTTCTCTGGGGCGTGGCCGGGCCCAGGGCTCTGGAAACTGGCTTGACTTGCTGGCCCCGGTGTCTGGGCGAGGCCAAGGCTCCCCTCCCACATTTGCTCCCTGGACTCCTCACGGGGTTGTCGCTGGGTGTCTCGGCGCCCTCTCTCCCTCCCAGCAAGTGCTTCATCTTCATCCTCACTCACCTGAGGTGTGGCCGGGGTCAGGGGTGTTCTCCACCTCTACTGTTTTGGGGTCTTGGGGCACCTGCACGCCCTCTGCACAGCCCACCCAGTCACTGCCCACCTGCCAGGCTGCAGGGACTGTTTGGGGGTGAGGACAACATTGGCTTCGATTAAAATCACGGCCAGGAGTTGCTCTGTGTGCCACCTCCTAGTGGCACAGACACCATTAAAGCCGCGTGAGTTGGGGGCACTTGTCAAACCGGGAGTGTTGTTAATTGCTTAGTAATTATTTTCTGGCAGGTGCTCTCATTCACAGGCTACGCCCCACAGTGCTTTTCTTTCTTCTGGCACGAGGAGATAAACAGCCGCGTTCAGGAAGACATATTGCTGTGTACTGAGTTGGGGTGTGCTACCTGGTTCCCCAGGGGCCAGTGGGGACGCACTTTGGGGCCTGGGGCGTTAGGGTCAAAGACCTGGTAGTCCTGGGAGATGAGGACTGGGTGGGGCCGGTGGACCTGGGGGGGCGCCGGGATCCTCCCAGGTTTCTCACTTCCGAACCGGAGTGATGCCGGCCGCCAGGACACCCTCGATATTCGTGACAAGTGGCTGAGTATTTTCCATCAGACAAGGAAGGCGGGCAGACTCCTGAAAGGTGGGGCCAGCCGAGGGAGCAGGTCCAGCAAGGCCACGGCGCTACAGAAGCAAGGACAGAGCCAGGGCGGCACAAACGCTTTGGCCACATCCCCAAACAGGCTGCACGGCGGAAGGGGACAGCCACCTGCACAGGTGCAGACCCGCCCGCCCGCAGGCTGGGCCGCCTCTGCCCTCCTGCACCTCTGAGGTGGGGGGTCTGCCCCCCCCACAGCTGCTGGGCATGGGGTGGGAGCACCGGGGTGCTGAGTGGGTGGATGTCCTGGGGGCGTGGGGGGGACCAGAGAGTTCAAGTTCTACAGCCAGAATCAGGCACCCGGGCGATTAATCCTGGCTTGCACTTTAGGGAGCTTAAAAAGTCCAGACAAATGGAGTTTTAGAAAATTGTCTTTCAATTTAGGGTTTTGTCTGATGCAGTTTAATACCGCTTGAACAATAAATGCTAACACGAAAATGTAGCCCGTGCCTGTTTAATGCTGGTCTTGAGGACAGGCTGCCCCAAGTTCTGAAGAAACGGGGACACAGAACATGCGGGGTGGAGGCCAGGGCCACCCTTGTGTTTATTCTTTATTTGTGTAGCCCCAGAGGCCCGTCTGGAGGGGGCGGCGGCTTTCCTGGGGCGAAGGCAGGAATGGGCGGGAAAGACGCTGCCCCGAGGGGAAGGGGGAGCAGAGCCTCCCTTTGGGGTATCTTGGGAAGGTAAACGTAAAATAAAGTGGATTTTAGACCAAATAAAGATGACATCCAGGTTTTGGAAAGTTACTAGGAAAGCACCGACGGCGTGGGCGCTGCCAGACCAGAGGTGGGGTGGTGGCTACGAGCCGCCCGGGGATCTGGGCACCAGCGACCCTGGCCACGTGGAAGCGGCGGGCTCAGAACAGCCGGCCAGCGGCGCAGGTGCCCCACGAGTGGCTCTGGGGAGGCCAAGGAGCTGTCCTGGCCACCCCGTCGCCCCAGCCGGCGAGGGGACACCCCCAACCCGCGAGGGCACACGCAGCGGGCGCCCGGCCCCCATCCCCGCTCCAGCCTCCAGCGGGAAGAGCCGGTGGGCCTGGGGGCGACGGGCGGTGTGACCTGCGCCTCCTTTGTGACTTGGCGAGGGTGGAGGGCCAGGGAGGGTCTGTGACCCCGACAGCCGCGGGGGCCAAAGCGCGTGACCCCGGGGTGTGAGCGGCGAGGCCACACGCGGCCCCACCCCCACCCCGCGCCCCCATGGCCCGTGCGGTCCCGCGCGCCGGCCCCCGCCCCCGCTCCGACCGCCGCCCCGGACTCGACCCCGACTCGGGACCCAGCGGGAGCGCCGCCGACTGCGGCCCACTGGGGCCCGCGCGCCCCGCGCACCCTCCGGGGCGCCCGGGTCCCCGCCGCC